GAGCCGGGGGCGGGGCCGCCGTGCAGCGGCCTCGGGCGGGGCTGGGGCTTCGCTCGCCCCTCCGTCTACCCCACACTACCCTACACGGGGCGGAAGAGGCCACTGGCGTGCACTGTCAGGAGTACGTACACCGGGACGCACATCCCTGCCACCCCATCACACAAGCAGCCCACCACAGCCTCTCTGACCCTCAGGTTCCCTGCCCTCCCACCCCGCGCTCACTTGCAGAGCTGAGTCCTAAGCGGGAAGCACTTGCGTGTGTGTGCGCGCGCGCAGGTGTGATAGTTGCACCTGGCCACAAGACAGAGGTCGAGGGAAAGGGCTAAACTCGGGCGCTAAAAGGAGTGCACCCCCATGTGTGCATTGGGACCCATTTGAGGAGTACACTGTACCCCCTTGCCCTGACTCTAGGGCTGCTGCCCAACTCGTCTTGGATGTGTGCCTGTGTTGGTGGTGTCTCACAGGGTACCCGCTGATGGCTGCCTGCCTGCTTCCGACAGATCGGTGCTGGGCCCTTGGGGACAGCCACAGCAACACAGGCAGTTCTCCTGGCCCCAGTATGTGGGTCAAGGGCTTTTGCCAGCAACCCCAAGACAGTTGAGTCCAAACCGGGACCCCAGTGCAAACCACCAAGCCCAGGGTTCTAGTTGCACCCCCACCCCCGGGTATGCCAAGACCACAGACCACACTCAGCCACCACAATTTCCTTGCAAAAACCCTCGGCTCCTCCAAGGGCCAGTGGAAATTTATTGTTTTGTTGTCCTTTTCCATTTTTCCCCAAGTGGCTTTTCCTTGCAAAATGCCCGACATGACACCAGAGGGGAACCTGGGAGGGCCCCAAAGGGGTGGCCCAGGGATTTAAATACAAGCTGGAGAGGGGGCAGGGTGTGGTTGGGACAGACAAGAGACAGCACAGGGACATGGCTTCTTAGGTAGAGACCAGGTTTGCTTTCCGCAGGAAGAAGCTGTGCCAGAGGGCAGAGGGCCAGGATCCTGGGTGGGTAGAGGGTGAGCAAAGAAGCCCCCAGTCCTGGGGTGCACCCACATTCCCCAGAATAGAGGCAGGGATGAGGCTCTGCCCCCTTAGGCTCTAAGCAATGAGAGGAAGAATGAGCCAGATGTGCTGCCTCAGGGAAAGAGGAGGGGTGCTGGCAGAGTAAGGGTTAAGGCTGGTGCCTGGCCTCTGGCACGGTGGGCCTTCCGCCTCCGCCTGCCTCGGGCACAAAGGGGCACGGTGAGCAGGCAGCACACAGGCCTGCCTCTGGCAGGGTAGGGGACGGCAGGAGCAGGCTCCCCCTGGGCTCAAGACACAGGCCCAGCGTAACTGCCCGCCCACCTGCCCTAGCTGTGCTCTGAGCCTACTGTAGCTGGACGGCTTGAGCTGTGAGTGTAGGGGTGTAGAGGCAGAGGAAAAGGGTGGGCTGCTGGACTTCTGCGCCCCCCATACCCGTCCTGAGGTCCAGCCCAGGGCCCTAGATCCAATCACAGGCCGTGGATCCCCTGGCTACAGTCCTGACCCAAGGTGCTGACTGCAGCCAGGGGCAGCAGAGGTCAAGGAGGACTCAGCTCTTGGGAAGGGGCGAGAGAAAGAGAAACCCAGTGCAGCATACACGGGGAAAGGGAGACAGAGGAGCCCTCGTTCCAAAGGAAGGCGGCATCTTTCCAAGGTATCTAGAGGCAGCAGCAGAGCAGCCCCCGTCCCTGCCCTTGCCACAGGTCCTGGACGTCCTCCCTTGGGGACCCTGACAGAACCAGGGCTCAGGACAGCAGGCAGATGGGCCAGAAGGAGATGGGGAGCCCAGGACACCTCAAAGCCACAGACTCAAATGCCCAGGAGAGGAAGGAGGCATCTCCTGACCCCTCCAGAGGCATCATCTGAAGGTGTCCCCTCCTGTCCCATCCCAAGTGCCCCTCCTAGCAACAGCCACCACCAGCTGGCTTCACAGGGGTGCTGTCGATCTTGAGGTTGGGCCGTTCTCCTCCTGAGGCTGCCCCAGGCCCCATCCGCTTCTTGATCTCAGCAGCCATAGTCATGAAAGCCTGCTCGACATTGGTGGCATTCTTGGCACTTGTCTCTAGGAAGGGGATGCCCAGAGAGTCTGCGAACTCCTGCCAAGGGGAGAGAAGAACAAAAGAGAGGAGAGAGGGGTGAGGGGGCAGTGGGCGCCAGCCACTGCCACAGCTCTGTCTAGCCCTGCTCACCTTGGCTGTGGTGTTGTCCACCACCTTCTTGGTGGTGAGGTCACTCTTGTTGCCCACCAGGAGCTTATTGACATTCTCGCTGGCATAGCGGTCAATCTCCTGCAGCCATTGCTTCACATTGGCATAGGATTCCTAGAGGGTCCACAGTTCAAAGTTATTAAGCTCCCAACTCTGGCCCCTCCCCAGGCCTAGACACAAGATCCTAAGAGAGAGGCAGGTCCCCTGGGCTACAAAAGCTGTCCCTCTCTTCAGCAAAGCAAGACATAGCTGCCTTCAACAGTCCCAGCACTCGCCAGGGCTTGTGGGCCAGACTGCTCTGACTGCCACAGCTGCTGCCCTCCAAGACACTCCCAGGCTAACCACATGTGACAGCCTAAGAGAGGTGATCGGAGGGAAGAAAGGGACAGATAGGAATGGGCCAGTGAGAATCACCAAGTTCCCACAATGGCCTGAAAATCTCTTTACACAGAGCAGGTTTGAAGCCTTCTGCCCAGTAGGGGATGGAGAATCCTTGCAGGAGGGGTCCTGGCTATGAGGGAGACAGACATCCTGTCCTACTTCTGACACCAACACTGCATTATTGGGCCTCAGACACTCCCAGCAGCCCGACACTCTGGGAGTGCTGGCGCTGAAGCTGCTTTTCTTTCTTAGGGGCCAGAGGTCTGGTGACCTCCCATGTCCAAAGTGTGCCTTATGCTGGGTACAAAGGGAACACCTATCAGGGCCTACCCTAAGGCACTCAGAGCAAAGTGGAGAAACAGACCAGGATATATACAATGGCATGATGGAATAGAGGTCAGGAGCTAGGGAGCCGCAGGACCATCTCTACCTGAGAAGCTACAGCTGACCTGAGCCTACAGGCAAACTGGGCTGGTGCAGGAGAGGTGGCTACTAAGCAAACAACCTGTGTCGGGTCACACAATGTGAGGACACGATGTCTTTGAGGGAAAAGAGGGGCGGGTAGGTCAGAGCTCAAGGGTTTTCACTCAGCTAAGTTTGGGACAACCAAGAGATGCAGGGAAGGGTGTCTTAGACAAGGGGTAATGGGAGCACATCTGAGTTCTGGACAGATGGTCCACAGAGGAGTGTGGGGGTCAGAGAAGACCAGAAAGAAAAGGAGACAAACTGGGAGGTGCTGGAGATAATCCAGGGAAGAGATGTATCCTGAGCCACAGAGTATGGCAGGGAAGCACACAGATTTAGTCAGGCCATTCTGGGTGAAGCCTTGGCTCAGCCACTTACTGCATGACATTGGATTTGTCACCAGACCTCCGTGGGCCTCAGTTTCTTCTTTTGTATAAAACAGTACCTCCCAGCAGGATTGCTGTTTGCATGAGAGAATGAATACAGCCCTGTCTAACAAGTGCTTAATTACCAAGAACCGCTATTATCCTCATCACTGCTATTATTATGATGGGGCATATTTGAGAGAGATGATGGAGACACAATGGAGGAGCCTTGAGACTGACTGGATGAGGGAGGAAGAGTTTTTTGGTCAGGCCAACAGAGATTATGTTACAAAACTGAGGATGCAGAAGCGGGTGTGGGGAAATATGGTTGGGCCAGTGCTTGGCGTCTTGAGTTCTGCAGCTGGTCTAGAGTCTCGGAAAGGCACCCGAGGGCAGGAAAGCATGTGCTCCACGTCAGCAATACTGACTTCTAACCCAGACTCTGTCCTTCAAGACTGGTAGACTAGACTAGGGCCAAAGTAACATCTCTGCAGGCAGTTTTCTCACCCAGAAATACAGACTCCCCCATGTAGTGCACCAGCTAAGATGATGGAAATCTGAATTCACAGAAACCACGTGTCAGCACAGGCATAGAGAGAAAAGCGGGAGGCTGGGGATTCAGATCAGCGGCACAGCACCTGCCTGGCAAGTGTGAGGTCATAAGTTCGATTCCCAGTACTGGAACCCCCCGCCAAACCACGCCCTCAAAAGAGAGAAAAGCGCGTCCTTGTTGATAGCTGTTTAGACGCAAGAATCACAGTAAACAAGGTAGAAGACCAATTACCAAAGTAGCCAGAACCATGGACAGTCAGAGTCAGAAAGCAGAAAATATGGGGTGAGGTAAAGGAACACAGAATGAACCAATAAAAACACCTTGAAGGGGATGGAGATGTAGCTCAGAGGTACAGTGCATGCTCAGATCAGGAACTTTTCAAGGAGAGAGGAAGAGGTCAATCGAAACAAAAACTAAATTGAGGTTGCTAGATTTGGTGGTCAGTAGGAAGGTCTTGGTGATCTCTGATTGTGGTCATAGGAAGGTCTTGGTGATCTCTGAGTGGAACACAGCTCACCCCCAGCTTGCTGTCCAGAGCTAGGGAGGTAGGGGCAGAGGATCGTGAGTCCTGGAGAGCCAAAGGGCCCTGCTGCCCAGGGACTCCTCCCAGCCCAGGGGTGATGTCATCTCCCATATCCCCAGGGCCTGGTTCCTGTTAAGCAGCCATGGTAGAAAAAACAAAGCAGGTGGGATCCAGAGACTAGGCTTTCTATGTCTGCAACTGAACTAGCTGGAGTAGTTCACCTGGTGGTCACCTCACCACTCTGAAACCAAGTCCACATCTGTACGATGGGAATATGACAGAGACTTTTACAAGCATCAGAAGACAATGTGAAGATGCAGGCATGCAATTTGGTACATGCCTGAGAAGCCAGCTACTTGGAAGGCTGAGGCAGAAGGATCATGCGAGCCCAGGAGTTTGGGGCCAGCCTGAGCAACACAGTGAATTCCCATCTCAAAAAAACCAAAAAACAAAAAACCATCCACACCAAAACTACCACCACCACCACCAACACCACCAATGACAACAAAAAAGAGAGAAAAAAAAAGGAATTTGAAGACTGAGATTTTGTAAGCAGTAAAATATGGACTATTTCTGGCTGCTCTCATGACCACTGATGCCAGTGACACGCAACTAAAGCCACCAAAGCACACACAGGGATCCCAGACCTCTGTTCATACTGGACCCAGAGCTCAGGGATCCCTCAACTGCCTTTGCTAAAAGCCCTCCAACTGTTCCCCCAGTATCTTCACATAGGAAGCCATGGGTCCAGCACAGCAGCCAACAAAGTGACTAAAAATACGCAAAACACAGGTGCCAGGAAGGTCTAGAACAAGGTGGAGGGGTAGTGTGAGGACTGGTTCTGCCTGATTCTGCAGTACAGCGCTGAATGGATCCTTTGTGACTGCTTCCCTCCCTGTGAAATTCATACAGTCTTGCCGGGCATGGGGGCACACGCCTGTAATCCCAGCACTCGGGAGGCTGCAGCAGAATTGTTGTGAGTTCGAGACCAGCCTGGGATACAAAGTGAGCTCAAGGGCAGCCTGAATGGCATAGCAAGACCCTGTCTCAAAAAGATAAAAAAAAAAAAAAAAAGAAAGAAATTCATACAGTCTCTTTCCCAGGAAGCATCAGGGAAAAGACTGGAAGAGTAAAAAGCAGTAACAAAACCTAAGGCCAAAGAGGGAAAGTTGGGCAGTTTAAGTCCAGGAATACCTGGTCAGTGACATCATACACCACGATGATGCCATGGGCCCCCCGGTAGTAGCTGGAAGTGATGGTCCGAAACCGTTCCTGACCAGCTGTGTCCCACTGCAACACAACAGGGAGAGAGGAAGGTCAGTCTGGTCGAGCCCCTCCACCCCCCAGGCAAGGTCTGTGCCTATACACAGGGTTGGGGAAAAGCCACACTCACAATCTGAAGTTTGATGGTTTTGCCATCCAGCTCAATGGTTCGGATCTTGAAGTCCACCCCAATGGTGCTGATGTAGCTCTCCGTGTATGTGTCATCCTGGAAGGTTGGGGCCAGTGAAATGGCCTGAATGAATGAGTCCAAGGCCCATTTGGAAAGCCTCCCTCCAACTTCCTCCCCAGCCAGCTCCTAATTACTAAGCTCTAGTTCTGAGAACCCCATCTTATCAGCTCAGCTCCCTATTCAGCCAGACGCTCTGCTGGCAGGTCTTATAAAACCTCATCCTTGGTTCCCAAGTCTTGCAACTACTGTGCTCTGGGTTGTTCCTTTTCCCCTTCCAAGCTACCAGCCAGGACCCCAGATGGATGTTATGGGTTTCTTACTCACAGCGAACCGCAGAAGCAGGCATGACTTGCCCACACCCGAGTCACCAATCAAAAGCAGCTTAAACAGGTAGTCACTGGAGAGAGAAGACATGAAGGAAGGCAAGAAGTCCACCTACCATCACCAATACAGTATCTCCACACTGCGAGGTATGTCTTGATTTGGTATACTATGGTACTCACCAGATCTTCCCACCAGATCTTGGGGAAAGGGAGATTGAACTTTACCCCCACAAGCTAGCCCACAGGTTACTCAGCTTCCTGAGGCTGAATTCCCACTTTTATGGGAAACAAAAGTGAAGCACACAGGGGCACTTGATGTCCTAAGAATCACAATCAATTAAATGTCAGAGCTGGTTATCTCCATAGTTCTGTCTGGTACAGGACATTTAGGGAACCCCGAGCATGTCCTGTGGTGTGTGCTACTAGACAGGGGAGGCAGACCCCTAAAGTTGAAGCCAGGAGTCAGCCAGAACCTATTATCAAAAACAAAAAAAGTAAAAACCCTGATATAAAGTCTCCAATAAGATGTAGTCAACAAGTGGAAATGATAACAGCACTTAATACTTCAGAGATGTTACCGGCATCATCTCATTAAATCCCCACTGCAGTCCAGGGAAGTGTTTTATTCCCAACTACTGAGGCAATCAGAGGCAAACAAGGGGAGTGTCTTGCCGTAAACTACACAGCAGATAATTCTGAGACTCCAAACCAGGCCTGTCAGACTCTAGCGTCTGTAAGAGCCTGTCTGTTCCCTTCTTTGTTCCCCCTCCTAAACCGGCTCAGAGAGGCACGCTTCCCCAAGGAAATCCGAGGTCTGGCGATACAGGAGAAAAAGGAAGTGGCAGAAGAGGAAGATGCAGCTGATACTAGGGGGAAAACTAGAAGTGCAGGGCCCGAAATGCGGGCCAGGTACCTGCAGGGGGAGTGACCAAGAAGTCAGTAAAATTTGAGGACCAGTGAATCCCATTCTAGGGGGGAAATGGGAAAGGCAAATTCCACATTCACCCAAACTTCTCTGGCAGTGTGACAGCAGAGGGACGGGGTGCAGCGGTGGCCATGGAGGTCTCAGGGCAGACCACTTGGAGCGCCCGGACAGCTGATCTGGGCAGGCCAAGGCAGGCGCCGCCTGGAGGAGTTGACCTAAAAGGGATGAGCGGCGCTTTGGGGCCACCCGCATCTGGTCAGTCTCTACATCGACCCCGGGAACCAGACTCCAGAAGAAAGAGGGCTGAGGGATTTACGGCGCGATCTAAGTGCTCGAATCTGAACCATTCGAAACCACAAATTACTGTGTCGGGCTCCAAACCGCGGGGACCGTCTTCAAACAGCACACGGGGAAACTGAGGCCTGCAAAGAACGCGGCTGCAGGGTCACCTGACCCAAAAGCCCCGGCAGCACTGTTGCCTCGGGCTCCAAGTACTGCCCTGGGGGTTGCAGTCTCTGGACCCTAGGTACGAGGACTCGGGGTGTCAAGTCGGGGTCCTGGGTCCCCCCCGGGGGGAGGGGCAGAACCCGGATGTGAGGGGGAGTCAGCGGAAGAGAGACCCGGATGTGGGGGCGCCGCGCAGTCCTGACCCGGGCCAGACAACCCCGGTAAGCGTACAGCCCCGTCCTCGGGATCGAGGCTGCGCCCAACGGCGCGGGCGGGGCTCACTCACTATTCGGGGTTCATGGCGGCGGCGGAGGCCCGCTCGGTCGCTCCCAGTCGGCTCTGCTCCGCCTCCGTTCCAAGATGGTGGCCGCTCCGCCCCAGAGGCCCCACCCGCAACGCGCAAGCGCACACATTCTCGAGTCCGGCCGCGCCGCACTGCTTCCTGGGATCTGTAGTCTCCCCAGGATCTATCTCACTCCCCCCCCCAACACCCCGCCTGCTGCGCAGGTGTATTCTGCCGCAGCAGCCGAACACTCTTACGCCGCTGGCGCAATGCTTTCTGGGGCTCGTAGTCTTCTTACGGGACGGACATGGCTGAGGGACCAAGCTCTGAGCTCCTCACCAACTCTGTGAATGCGAGTTCAACTTAGTGCCAGGCTTGGTACAGGTCACTTCTGTCTGACAGAAGCAGCCATTCTCACCCTCTCGCCTTCGGCAATAGCTGCACCAGTAAAGCTCATTGATCTTGGGTTCTTTATGTCCTGTACACTAACACAGCTCCAGCCCTAGCAGGTTGTCACTACTCCATCTTTTTTTTTTTGGACAGCGTCTCATCATGTAGTTCGGGCTTTCCTTTAACTATGTAGCCCAGGATGGCCTCGAACACGCGGCGACCCTCCTTAATCAGCCTCCCAAGTGCTGGAATTAAGCCTCCCAGGTCCACCCCATTTTATACAAGAAAAATCGCCTCAGGAAACGTGCTCAAATTATATCAGCATATTAAAGAGTTCTAGAATCCCAGAATTGAAAGCTTTGGGAGAAATCGACCACCTGTGGCACCCTCACACGGCTCTGGGACAGGAGAGTATCTGGGCACATCTCGCTCCCGGGACAGGATGCGAGCGAGCGAGCGAGCGAGCGAGCCAGCCAGCCAGCCAGACACAGACACACACACGAAGCCTCACCCAATCCCACCCCAATCTGGAGGCGCTGGGGGACCCTGGGCCTCTACCTCAGAACAAGCCCGGCTCAGATTCAAACCATCTTTATTTCTACAGCAACATCTGAAAATAAAGAGCGACCGCTTCGAACCCCCACCCCCTGTGGGGCGGTCCCTCCTGCCACCGGGGGCCGTGACTAGCCCACCGCGAGAAGCTGCGGGAGTGGGAGGCGGCGTGACAGGATGGCTTGAGGGGCGGTGCCCTGGGCGGGGTCAGGCCGTGCCTGGGCGGGAGGGGCAGTGCATAAGGCCGGGATGCAGGGCAGTGCCCGGCTGTGGGTGAGACGGCGAGCCTAGGGCCTGCCGTCCTGGGGTAAGGGCCAAGGCGAGGTGGGGCGCATCCCTCGAAGGCCAGGAGCGCAAAAAACGGTCCAAAGAACCATTTCGGGAGGCGCTGCTCCTAAGAACAGGAGCCTGGGAGATACCACCGCGCGGAATGTGGGTGATTAAGGCCTGGGCGGTACCACTGGAGAAGGGCGGGGCGAGGGGAGGCCCAAGGAGTACCTCGGTCTGAGGGTAGAGGCGCGGCCAATAACTTATTTCTTTATATACAGAAGCAACGGCCGGATGGGGGTGAGGGTAGGGATAGTGGTGGGGCAGCAGGTGCTTATTGTTCTTGACTCTGGAGTCTTCTCTTGGAGACTCCGGCCAGCCCCTCCTGCTGGCCAGAATCTAGGGAAGAGGGGCCCTGCTAGAAGGAATAAATACAGAGTAGAGCTGGGGTGGGCAGGCCCAGCCTCCAGGGCTCAGGCTGAGATGAAATGGGAGGAGGTTACCCTGAGTTTGAACAGAAAAGACAAGGGTCTGTGGGGGAGACAGGCAGGACAAGCAGCAGGCCCATGCGCAGGGCTTGGGGAGAGGATGCGCTGGATGGAGGCTCTGGCGACTGGCTGCTCCTTCAGGATTAGCCCACAAGGGAGCTTCGTCTTGAGAGGTCCATGGAGCTAGAGCTGAGTGTGCGGCTGTCAGAAAGACCTGTGCCTCCAGGCTGTGGGCAGAGGGACAGCCCATCAGCCTCATGCTGTTGCTACTGGGCTTTTGGGCAGACACAGCCTCAGTCTCCCAGTTGGCCAGCTCTGGCCCAAAGCTACCCTGGTGCCTGACGCGCTTGTTGCCTCCACATTATTGTGTTGGCAGTGGTGACTCACACGTCCACTGCAGGAGAGGGGTGCATTCCCCTCATCTGTCCCCCTGCTGTCAAGCAGAAAGCAGGACTGGGATGGGGACAGAACTGCTGCTGGATGAAGACTCGCTCCAGGAAAAGCTGGGCAGGAAGACATGCAGACCTGGGTCCCAGGGGCCCTGGGGCAGGGGCCTGGCTTCAGCTGCCCAGTGCCAGACACCCACTGCCCCTACCTGGACTGGCTCTTCCACGCTCTTGTTGAGGAAGTTGAGGGAACTGGCCCGCTTCATCCTGAGGGAAAAGGCCAGCTGAGATTTACCCAAGTAGACATGAGGAAGCTGGGAATGCTGGGGTTGGGGAGAGAGCAGACTTGGCAGTGGTGGCACCCAAGAGAGATGGGGAGGTCACCCTGGGCCAGCAGAAAACATTCAAATCAGGAGCTCATTTAGGTTCACTAGGTGCCTCTGGAGGGGTACACCTGGGTGGGGGCTCACCTGGGGTTAGGGGGCTCCTGCGGACTGCCCCCCTGCAGCTTCTTCACCAGCATCTCACTGCTGCGCCTCAGGGCATCCCGGAGCTTCCCAAAGGAGCCACTGCGTCGCAAGGAGCCACTGCCATCCTTTGGGTGACAGGCCCGACCTTCGGTCACACTGGGCATACAGTCTCTCTCCCAACCCATCCCAGTCTCCACACTCACCCCGCTCCACTCAGCTGCAGGTCCTGCCTCCTCCAGGTCAGACTCAGACCGAGGCCCAGCACCTCCAGTTGCATCTCGGGTGGCACGGCAGCCTCCCCGCCCACCACTGCCATCTTTCAGCAGCTCTACCACCTTGGTCTGGCTCGCAGGGTCCAAGCCCTAAGAGAGGCGCAGGGAGCACCAGGGCCTGATTGTAACACACACAGGGCATCAGAGGTCCCTCTCTACCCGGCTCCTGCATGGAGTCCCACCTGCTTCCGGCTGCGGCTGGCACAGTCCTCCAGTGTGTGTGCAGCCTCCAGCTTGCCCTGGCGCCGGTACAAGGCGCCCAAGCTGCGCAGGGTGGTGTTGACTGTGGGGCTGTGGATGGACAACAGGACAGTCTCATATACTGTTCTCCTGAACCCAGGGCCTGTCTGACACCCAGCCCACACTGGCCCTGAGGAACCACCCACGTGTCCAGCCCTGTGCTAGACCCACTTGTCTGTCCTGATCTGAGAGAATCACCCCAGGACTTGGGCCTGGCTCTCATACGATGTTGCCCCAAGACCAAAGCTGGGAGACCAAGAAGTGAGAAAACAGGGCTCTCCTGGTACAGAAAACCCTCTGGTAAAATGGGCCTTGGAAGATGAGCTGGTAAAAAAGAGGTATGTGTCTTGTGGGTGACAGGATGGAGTGTAGAACGTGGGCCTTGTCCCATCCAGGATGCCACTTCCCTGCTACCTGTCCTACCTAGCCCCAACCCATCCTGCTGCCCTCACCTGTCAACCTTACAAGCCTTGTACCAGCTGCCATATTCCCCATAGGGGGCGCTGTCCCGGCGCTTATCCTGGAGAGGGGGCAGGAACCATTAGGGGAGGTGGAAAAAGGCCCTCCCTTCCACATACCCCAGCCTCACACTCTGCGCACACAGCTACCTTGCTCTCCTCCCGTTCCTCTGCATGCATCCAAATGGGCTTGTTGTCTCCTGCAGGCAGAAAGGTGACTGTCAGCAGCCTGCCAGACAGGCCTCTCCAGTTTGGGCTGAATACAGGATTAGGGTCTGGGGAGGGGACAAGGGGACACCTAGGAAGGACCAGAGTTGGGCTGTGTGGAATGAATGAACAAGAAAGTGACTCAAAACATCACAAACCCTCCTCTGGACAGAGGATGAGTAGGTCATGGAGCTGTATCAGGGGGCTTGTGACAGGTGAGGGCAGAGGACAGAGCCTTCACACCATGGGCCCTTGGCCTGAGACATACAGTAGGCAGAATGATGGAAGAGGCTCCAAGGGATCTGGGAGCCGGGAATGACTGACCACCAGGAGCCAGAAGGTCTGTTCCTAGAAGGAAAGACACTTGGGCCAGGCCCTCAAGTGGAGCAGTTGCAAGCAGCAGACAAGCAAGACTGGGCCAAGAGTGTGGGGTTTGCCAAGGTGTATATGGCCAGGGAAGTGAGCCAGATATGTGTGTTCCCATAGATACCATCCACAGGTGAGGCTGGGCCACTAGCCAGACCCCAGGTGTGGGGGCCCGTCCAGCTGAAATACTATCCTAGGTGCTCACAGCTGAACTGGCAGCTGTACTGGATGAACCAGTAGCACATGGTGACCATAGACTCACCATTGACAGAACCAAACTCCTTCTCATGTGCCCGGGTGAGGATCTCCTTGTACAGGGTCTCTGCGTCCTGGTATTTGCCCTGTTTCAGGTAGCAGGAAGCCTGGTAGGGCAGAGACCCAGAGGGTGAACGGGATCCAGGAGCTGAGCTGTCCATCTCTTTCCTCCCCACACTCAGACCGACCTCCCTCCATCCCAGCCCCTAGCCCTGCCCAGCCCCTCAGCACCAGGTTATTCTTGGTTTTGGCCACATTGGGGTCATCAGGCCCCAGGCGCGTGGCGTAGATCTCCAGTGCCCGCCGGTAGTAGTATTCCACCTCCTCTGCTTTGCCCTGGTTCTGGCACAGCAAGGCCAGGTTGCTGAGCTGCTTGGCTACGTCTGGGTGAAACTTGCCCAGGACCTACAGTGGGAAAAGCAGTCAATGGCTGGTTTCAGAGCTGCCTGGGACCCTGATCTGTGCAGCTCCAAACCCTGCCTGTTCCCACCTTCTCCCGGATCTCCAGTGCCCGCTTGCACAGTGGCTCAGCCTCCTTGTACTTGCCCCGCTTGCCATACAGAACAGCCAGATTGTTTAGTGTTGCAGCAACCTGGCGGATGAGAGAACAGAGGCACGCTGGCCCAGGGTCCTGCTGGGCAGCGACTCCAAGACCTGGCATAGGGTTGAGGGCAGCTTGGCCACCGCTACCTAGCCCTCACTCACAGCTGGGTGGTCCTTGCCCAGTGTCTTCTCCCGGATAGCCAGGGCATCATTGAGCAGGTGGGCAGCCTCCTTGTACTTGTTCTGGTCCCTGGGAGCAGACAGGAGTGGGCTCAGGGTTGTCCTCCAGCCCAAGGCCTGCCCCAGGTGCCCATGATTCCTCTGGTCACTAGGGTGGGGACTAATGGGAATGTGACTCAGAGCATGGGCAAGGCTGGGCAGCCCCTGCCATTCTAAGAGCTCAGGGAGCTTAGGGCAGTTCACACTCACCCAACCAGGGCTCTGCCACATGCTCAGGACCACCAAGCTGCACACAATCTTCAAGTGCACCCTGCTCTCTAGTTCACAGTGGCCTTATGCTACTTTCTGCCACAGAAACCTTTTCCCATCCTCTTGTATTCTAGGCTAACTCACTTTCCACAAAGCTACTGCTTGAGGCTGGTGATCGGAGAAACTGCTACTTCCCCGCAACACCAGCATCCTTGTGTTACCTTCCCTGCTCATCTCAAACCTTTCTCTGCCATTAGACTGAGATCCATTCACATCTGGAGCCCAGGCCCACAAAGCACATCTCTCTGCTGCCCACCTCCTCCCTGGAGCTGACCCTAGCAAGCACCGTGGGTTAGTGACTCAGAACTGGAGTGACTCAGAACCCCATAGACGACTGGCCAGAAGGGCTCTCACCGATAGACCAGAGCCAGGATGTTCAGCATGGTGGCCACGTCAGGGTGGTCGTGGCCTGATGTCTTCTCCAAGTCCTCCAGTGCCTGCTTGCAGAGTGGCACAGCCACCTCATAGCGGCCCTGAGACGCATACTGGATCACCAGGTTGTGCAGGGTGCGAAGTCGTGCTGGGATTTCATAGCCCCCATGCTGGGCAGCCACATCCCCTCCTCCAGGGCTGGGGGCTATAGGACAAGACAGAAGATCAGGTGTGCCATCTGCCCGCTGGGCTAGACTGGCACATGCCAGCTATGTCTTTCAGCTGTGGCCCAAAGAAAGAGTAGGTGGTGGCAAGCTGTACTTCCTGGAACAAGTCCTCTCAAACCCTGAGCCTCAGTTTCCACATTTGCAGAGAGGGCTCTGATATGTACTCAACATTATAAGTGAGGCAAGCCTGGCCCTGGCTAGCCACTGTCTATGTGTCCCCTCTGATACTCAGAGCAGTCCCAAAGGAAAGGAACTGTCCCAGTGGCCTCAGAGGAGCCAGAGGTACAGCAGAAGGGGGAGCCAGGCCTGGCTGCTCCAGAGCTCTTGTGATGTCTCTCTCCTGCAGAGCTCACAGGGTATATGATGCAACGGAAGCCTTGCCCTGTAAGCTCTAATGTGCTGGGATGTTGTGAATGGGAATAAGGCAGGAAAGAACGTGGGTGCTACTTGGCCCCCATTTCCTATGACCTCTGGGTCCCAAGCTCCAGGAAAGTGCACAATCTTTCCTCCCCCAACACCCAGAGCCAACTGCCCATCCGCACCTGGGCTCTGCTCATCCTCATTGGGGAACAGGTCGTCTAGAGAATCTTTGGGGACATCTCCCTTCTCTTCCTGGGGAGAAGACAGGACAAGTGTCAGGGGGAGCATCATGGGTGGCTGAGTGTCAGTGGGTTGCGTAGGAGCTGGGTGCTACTCATGCCCTACTTGGCCCAGTCCCCTGATCAGGTGGGGCTCACATTAGGGGAGGTGTCCTCATCCAGCTTGCGGATCTGGCTCATGAACAGCAGGTGCTGCTTCTCCTCTTCCAGCTGGGCCACTGCCTGCTCGCTGTGCTGCAGCTTCTGCTGTGTCCCTGCCAGCTCCTCACGCAGCCACTGGTTCTCCTGCACCAGGCGCCGCACCTGAGCCCGCAACTTCTGCTTCTCTGACTCTACAGCACCCAGATGGCTTGACAGTGCCAGGATCACCTGCGCAGCCAGATAAGCATCAGAGCCCTGGCTCACCTCTAGCCTGCATCTCCAACCTGGGCCTCCTAAGACTACAGGGTCAGTGAAGAGCTAGGCCTGGCCTTGCTTATGAGCAGTTGCAGAGCCTTGGGCCTAGGAGCTCCCCCTTCCTCAAAGGTGGCTCCCTGTAGCCCCCGTACCCTGAAGATCAAACCCAGCACATTAGAGTTTGGGAATCCCAAGCTGCTTCCTCCTGGGATCCCTGAGCTACCACACTTTTCCTTTGTCTCTATGGGGGCCTGCTCTCTGCCTGCTGCAGCCACAGTTACTATACAACTGCAACCTGTCCCTGAGCTGGGGCTCACACAAAGAACCCTGATGGGGCTAAAAAGCCACTGAAATATCTCATTTTGGCTTCTGCTGAGGGTCCACAGCAAACCCTGCCTTCTGCAGCTCCCAGGTAGGGAAGGGTAGATGTTCCAAGCCCCCAGAGGATATGAGGAACCACAGAGGCATGTAATGGGATATAGGACTTAGCCCCTGACCTTCTCTTCAACCCCTGACTCTCTTCCTGAGCTTCCAGGTCCTTCCTTCCTTGGGGAAGCATGGGCTCCACCCTCCTTCATCCATCCTATATGCTCCAGCATCATTTCTGCCATCAAACACACCTTCCCCTTTATTCTAGCTCCTCATGGCCTTGCAGACCATGCTCTCTGCCATCCCATTCCTCATCTATGAGGGGTCTGCATGCACCAGGAGTGGGGTCCCAGTGTGGCCATTTCTGCAGCTGATAGCCAAATAGCCAAGGAGGCAATATGTTGCCCTTTTAGAACGCTGGGCAGTCTGGATCCCTGTGCTTTCTAGTTGGTTAGCAAACATGTAAGTGACAGGTGTTTTCCTAAGCACTAGTCTGAAAAAATTCCCTCAACAGCCTGCAAGTATGTACAACAGATGGTATGATCCCTATTTTAAAGACAAGGAAATCAAGATGATACAACCTACCCAGGATTCAAGGCACCAGGCAGTGGGTTGGCCAAGATCTGAGGGGAACAAAATCCTTTCCCATAGAATCCTACTTGTGTCCAAATGCCTCCTAGACATTTCTGTCTTCATCTAGTTCTGGCAGCCCAATTTAGGTGACCAAAATCAAACTGTGATGCACCCAGGGTCTCGAATCCCTGAATTTACTTAGATTATAAATATGAGACTTAACGATGCCCCTTCCTCTCTTCCTCTCACTTCACTCCCATGTCCTGCAGGGCCCACCTCCAGAACATCTTGAACTGGTCCTCTTTTCTCCACCCTCATGGACACGCCTTTGGTCCAAGCTGTCATCTCTTATTTGAGTTATAGCTAACCACTTGCTACCTGCTTCCATCCTTGAAGCAGGTCTATTCTCTGTCTCAGGGAATTTCTAAAATCTAAGTCAGACTATGTACCCTCTCTGCTTAGAGCCTCCAAAGGATTCCTGGTTTCCTGAGAATAAAACCCAAACTAACAAGCTAGATCTGGCTCTTACTTTCTCCAAAGGCCTCTTCTGTCTTTCTCTCTACTTGCTGTGTGAAGCTATAGTCACGTAGTTGTCTCACTTCCCCTACACAAAGGTCCTGCCTCAGGACCTTTGCCCATGTAACTTCTCTTTTCACTCCTTTTTGTGGTGGTTGGTCCATTTTTGCCTTCAACTCTTGGTTTAAGTGTCATTTCCTCAGAGAAGTATTGCCTGACCAATAGACAAGGTTCCTTGCTATAAGCTATCACAAGATCTTATTCTTTGCTTTGGACAACTGAGACAATTTGTTACAACTATTTGTGTGCATTTCTCCTCTCCTACTGGACTAGGGTAGGGATCTTGTCTGCCTTTCTGGACCCTGTATACCTGGCATTAACATATTACCTGGCACATAACAGCATGTGATAAATTAGAAATTTAACAAATCAATAGAAGAATGATGGTGAAAGGTGTTTCCTTACGGATTTCCTGTTTTTTCTATGCCATCCAATCTGTTAGGTAGAAAGGAGCCAGAAATGGCTGCGTGTGGAGATGAGCATGCGTAGGGTTTCCCGAAGCAGGGCTGAGGTCTTCAAAGTGCACCAATTTTTATCGACAGATATTTATTGCAGCCCAAACATGGATGGGAGACTCGAGGACCGGGGTTTCTGGCTCAGATTCTGTTTCTAGATTACCTTTGAAAGTATCATACCCTTCTGTGATCTCCCATCCCGGCTCCCTGACTGACCTACCTGGGCTTCCCCTAGTCCCAGCTCGATGGCCTCCAGGGAGCGTCGCAGGAGGTGGCAGCGCTCCTGGGAACCAGGCTCGGCATCGCCGGCCTCATGAGAGGTCAGGGGAGCTAGCAAGGCACGATGCTCCCCGCGCAGGGTCTCTAGTCCTTGGATGACAGCCTTGGTGCCCAGCACGATCTCATCCTGGGTCAGTTTCTCCTCCCGCGGAAGTACCATCGTAGCCATGGTCGTGCCACCTGCGAAGGTGAGGGGCGGGCAGGCGGCCGCCGAACCTAGGGCCACACCGCCGTCCAACCCGGATTAGGTAAACACTGGCGGTCCCCAGATGCCTGTGTCCCCAAGGGTGCCCAGGTCCACGAGCCAGCAGTCAGGACGGTGCCCGCGCTCGGCCTACAGGGGGCGCGCCAGCCCCATCTCAGCCAGGAAGACGCAATGCGGTGCGGCCGGTAAGGCTGGACCCTGATTTCACCCCAGACCACCGGCTCAGACCGGCTTAGGTGGCCCAGTCTCGAGGCTTCCCTGGAACTCCTCTAGTCAGGACATGGAGCACCAGGGGCCGTACTGGGTCGCAGGGGTTTACTCTCGCGGCGATCGGCCCCAGCCCCTGCGAAACCTCTCTCCCCCACCCACAGGCCGGACCCGCAGAGCCCCTCCCCCAGGGTAGGCCGATCCCGCGCAGACCCTCCCCCAGACAGACTGAGCTCTCCGGTTTCGCGACCTGCTTCCTCCTGGCCGCGCCCAGGACACCCCCTCCCATAGGCTGGCGCGAGTCCCTTCCCCTGGCCCACAGGACCGCGCCCCCTCCCCCGAGCGGGTCCCCACACAGGCCGCGCCCACGACGACCCCTCCCTTAGGCCGACCCGCAGCCCCTCCCGTTCAACGTTTGACCACCCCCTCTCCCGACCGGATCGGGCCGCGCCGACCTGCGCTTCTTGACCAGCTCTGGCTCCCGCCCCGCTTCACCCGGACCGGCAGCCGGGAGACGTTCCCGCTGTCTCCATCCCGCCGGTCTTCCCAGCAGTCCCCGCGCCGCCTTAAAGGTGAAGCCGCTAGCTCGGCGCCGTCGGAGGGGGCGAAACAAAATGCTCTCGGAGGGCTCGCTGCCTTAAAGGAACCGGTGAGGCTTGCCGGCTCCGGCGGAGGGGGCAGGGCGGGGCCCGTGGGGCGGGGCCTGGGCTCGCCTTGGGTGCCGGTGGGCGGCGGCTGTCTTGCTCTTTTCTGGCCTTGCGGCAGGCAGCAGTGAAATGTCCAAGGCCAGGGTTGTGGAACCGCTCCGGAGACTACGAACCCGAAAGCACCCAGTGCAGCGGCCAAAGAGGACGATAGTGGAAACTGAGGCTCAGGGAAACGGCCCGACCAAAGCGAGAGTGTGTCCATGTTTATTGAGGCAGTTGCCATCTATCTGAGTATTGGGAATCGAACTCAGGACTCCACGCTTGCTAGGCAGGCGCTGTGACCCTGAGTTAAATCCCTAGCCTTATTTATTTATTTATTTTATTTTGAGATAGGGTCTCACTATATAGTTCAGGCTGGCCTTGAACTCAAGGCAATCCTGCCTCAGCCTCCCAAGTGCTGGAATTACAGGCCTGCGCCAGGACGCCTGGCCCAGTTGCCACTTATGGAGTGCTTACTGTAGCACTTACTTACATGCAGTATTTTAATGCTCACAAGGACTCACTTAAGTGGGTGCTGCTGTTATCTTCATCTCACAGAGCCGACCCAGGCACATTTGTGCCTACAGACGTACCCATCCCTTCTTCCCAGCTGTCCAAGTCCCTGTAGGGAACTGACAGTCGTTCTTTTCTTTTTTCTTTTTTCTTTTCTTTTCTTTTCTTTTCTTTTCTTTTCTTTTCTTCCTTTCTCTCTTTCTTTCTTTCTTTCTTTCTTTTTCTTTTTCTTTTTCTTTTTTCTTTTCCTTCCTTCCTTCCTTTCTTTTTTTTGAGATAGGGTCTCACTGTGCAATTCAAGCTGTCCTTGAACTCCTGTATAGCCCAGGCTGGCCTTGAACTTGTGATCCTCCTGCGCAGCCTCTCCAGTGCTGGGGTTACAGGCTTGCCCCACCACACCCGGCTTTTTAAATTATTTTTTTTATTATTATTACTATTATTAGTATATGTTTGCAGTACATAATGATCACATTCCTCATGGTGGGTTTCTACATATACATAACACATCTGAATTCTTTTTTTGTCCCTTTTCCCTCCCCATTTAGAAAAGCTCTTTCCATTCTTTTCCCTTCAGTTCTTTTTTCCCCCTTTAAGTCTCCTTTCCCTTCCTTCCTTCCTTCCTCCCCCATTTGAACATGTTCTTTCTACTTCCTAATATCTGCCCTCCATTTTGCTCCTTATTTATACTTTGGGTTTCTCACACAAGAGAAACAATGTGATACGTAAACGTATGCATCTGATTTATTTCACTGAAGATTATGGTCTTGAGGTATATCCACTTACAAAAAATGTCTCAAGTTTATCCTTTATGGCTGAATAGTACTCCATTGTATTTAAATACCACATTTTCAGATGTTCAGATTAGAAGGGGAACAAGGGAGAGAGGAGGAGGAAAGGAAGGAAGGGACAAGAAAAAAAGAATGGGGAGAAAAAAATGGGAACAAAGGGCCAGGGATATAGCTCAGTGGCGCAATGCCTGCCTGGCAAGCGCGAGGTCCTGAGTTCGATTCCCAGTACAAAAAAAAAAAAAAAAGGGAAAGAGCTTTTGTAAATATGGAGGGGAAGAAGGATTGAAGGGCAGGGAAGGGAATGGGAAAAAAAGCAGAGGCAAGATATGTACAGGTACAAATTCCCTATGATGAATGTGATCATTATGTATATCTAAAATGTACCAATAAAAAAATAGAAAAAATACCACATTTTCATTATCCAGCCATCTGTCGATGGATGTATAGGCTGTTTCCAGGATTTAGCTATTATGAATTGTGCAGCTATAAACTGGATCAACAGAACCTCTAGTTTTAGTTTTTTGAAGAATATCCATACTATTTTACATAGTGGTCGTACCAGTTCACACTCCCACCAACAAAAGGTTCCTTTTTCCCCAACACCTCACCGACATTTCTTATTGATTTCTTGATAATAGCCATTCTTTCTGGCAAAAAGTGGAAGCTCAATATTGTTTTAATTTGCATTTCTCAAATAACCCTTGATGTTGAGGATTTTTTCATGTACTTAGTAGCTGTTCATAATTGTTTATCTGACAATGTCCATTCATTTCACATGCCCATTTTTGGATTTGTGGCAGTCTAACTTTTTGAGTTCTTTATATATTGTACATACTAGCCCTTGTCTCAGGAGTAGCTGGCAAAATCGTTTTTCCCATTGTGTAAGTTGTTTCTTTACTCTGTTGCTGGTGTCCTTTGCTGTGCAGAAGCTTTTTAATTTTTTAATAAGGTTTTTAATTTGATGTGATCCCATTTTGTTGATATTTTGGTAGTATTTCCTATGCAATTTGAGTTTTGTTCAGAAGGTCTTTGCCTACACCTATACCTTCCAGAGTTTACTTCATCTGTCTTTCAGGAGATCAAGCATTTCTGGTTTGTTTGTTTTTTTTTGTAATGGGAATTGAACTCATAGCCTCCTGTTTGCCAGGCAGGCACTAGGCCATTGAGCTACATCCCCAGCCTGTGTTTCTGTTTCAATATTTAGATCTTTTTTTTTTTTTTTTTTTCTGGCACCGGGAATCAAACTCATGATCTTAGGCTTGCCAGGCAAGCGCTCAAGCTGCTGAGCTATACCCCCGGCCCACCGACTTAGATCTTTGATCTATTTCAATTTTAGTTTAGTGCATGGTGAAAGAGTCTTGTTTTAGTCTTCACCATGTGGCAAATCAGTTTTCCTACAGCTGTTTTTATATTAAAGAGGCTATCTTTCTTCTAGTGAAGGTGTTTGGCCCCTTTGTCAAAGATTAACGTAGCTAAGTGTGCTTGAAGTTGTTTCTGCACCTTCTGTTCCGTTGATCCTCAGGTCTGTTCTTTTTGCCAGTATGATGCTGTTTTTATTACTGTAGCTTGGTAGTACTATATAACTTAAAGTCAGGGATTGTGATGTTCCCTGCCTTGCTCTTATTTTCTAGAATAGCTTTTGCTATGTTTTAGTTCTCTTCTGGTTCCATGTGAATTTTTGGATTGTTTTCTCTGGGTCTGTGAGGAACGATATTGTCCCCCCCCCCCCCCGTTACCAGGAATCGAACTCACGACCTTGCGCTTGCCAGGCAGGCGCTGTGCCGCTGAGCTAAATCCCCAGCCCCTAGGAACGCTATTGGTATTCTGATTGGGATTGCATTAAATCTGTGTAACAGTTTTGGAAGAAGGGCCATTTTCACTATTTTGGTTCTACCTCTCCAGGCACAGGAGATATCTTTCCATTTTCTGATACCTGTCTGGATCTTTTTCAGAGTACTATAGTTTTCATTGTAGGGTCTTTCACTTCCTTGGCTAGGTTAATTCCTAAGTATTTAATTTTTCTCAATAGTATTATGAAAGGTTGTTTCCCTAATTTCTCTCTTGGTGAGTTTGTTACTGGTGTATAGGATTGCCATTGATTTTGGGATGTTCCGCTACCAAATGTGGTTTTTAATTGTAGGAGTCTTTTGGTGGAGTTTTGGCGATCTTCTGTGTACAGGATCATTGACAGTGCTTCTTGAGGGGAGGGGTGGAGGGTTCTGGATGGTGCTCCTGGGTGTGCGCACCACAGCAAATGTTGCCAACTGGACAATCAATACAAAGTGACCGTCTTTGGTCTGTGATGATGCCACTGGGGACTCAAATTAGATGACACTTCAGAGAAGCCTTCCTTGCTTCTGGGCTTTTCTGCCGGAGCAGCCCTCCAGTCCCTGCCACCACCCTCTTTACTATATAACATTAGCGTTCTTCACATTTTTCTTGTTGGTTTGCTTTCTCTCTTCTAGAATGCAGGCCAGGACTTGTTTATCTTGGCCTCTTCCAGAGTGGTGGGAGACGCAGCAGCACTCATTAAATGCTGGTTTAAGAAAAGGCAGAAGGATGAATTTGTTGGCCTTGCCAGCTCCTCTAAACCTGGGTTCTGGTCTGTTTCTCTGCCACCTTGGGTTGGTGCCCTGCCCCGCTAGCTGTCCCCACCACTTCGACGTTGGCAGTGCTAGGAGACAACAGCAGGATGAACTCTCTGAGGGATAAAACCTGCACAGTGAGGCCTGGTATATACCAGGAAATCTGGGGTGTTCCTTGATTTGGGAAGGGTTCAGACTCAGGAGTTCAGGTTTGGCGTCTGCATGGACACTGGAATCCCTTCTGTACCATCTTTTTGGCCTGCTATGCTTTGCTTGAGTGCATGCAATGGCAGGGAGGTGACTACTTTCTGCTTTCAGACAACTCCACAGGTTAGAAAGTTTTTTCTTAGGCCTCAAGAGTGCCTTCCTGCAGTGCTCACCCACAGCTTGTCTTTAGGAAGGTGTTCCCTTTCTCTAGCCAATTAAGATGCATGGAGACAGTGAGAGTCTGTCATCTCTCTGCCTGAACTGCTCCCACCTCTTCACCCAGGCCTACCACAGTCTCCTGGCTCTTCCTTATTCTGATTTCTCCTGTCAGTTCAGGTCCTGCTGAGAATGTGCTCAGCCCAGGCCCCAGTGAATGATCCACAGACAAGGACTCAATTTCATGGGCTGCAGAGGGACAGTCCCCCTTAATAAGCACGGGGCTGAAGCTCAGCATCACAACACTGGCCTAGAACACGAGACCATGGGTTTGATCCCCAGCACTGTAGAAACAACGGAAAAAGCCGGGCGTGGTGGCGCATGCCTGTAAACCCAGCACTCAGGAGGCTGAGGCAGGAGGATGGTTGCGCGTTCGAGACCAGCCTGGGCTACAAAGTGAGCTCAAGCCAGCCTGGACTGCATAGCAAGACCCTGTCTCAAAAAGACAAAAAAACAAAACAGAAACAACGGAAAAAACATGGTATCTTTCCACCAAGCCATTCCACCTTTTCAGTAAAGCTGAAAGTCAGGCTAACTTTGACAGCTGCCACAGGTGAAGTTTGTGGTCAGCTAAGACCCTAGATCTTATTTTTGAGACAAGGTCTCTATGTAATTCAGGCTGGCCTTGAACTTCCAATGATTCTCCTGCCTCAG